CTATGCCCTGCTGTCACCCAGAGCAAGCTGCGCCTGCATCATGCCCCCCGCCATGCCAGCTGGGCAAGCAGCAATATGGCATAGCCCCTGTGGCTCCCCCCTCTGGGGCAGAGGCAGGCACAGTCAAAGGAGCCACAGGAGAAGCACCCATTGTTGCTCTGCCCAGCCCCATCCCCTGCCTGGGCCAGCCCCCCGGCACTTTAAATTATAAAAAAAAAAAAAAGAAGCAGCCCCATATTCATTGGCTCTGGCAGCAGCAATCAGGGCCTCTGAGGGCTTATGGCAGAGCTCCCCCATGCAGTATGAGGCAGTGAGAATTGCCCCTGCTGCTTGGCACCCATGCGGCAGCTGGTCCACGATGCAGGTGCAGTGCAGCTCAGCACGGCACTACATGCTGTCTGAGAGCTGGGGTGGCTCCACATCTCAGCCACAACCTGGCACTACTCAGCCCTAGTAGCCCCAGCTCCCAGATATCGCGCGGTGCCCGGCCAAGTCGTGCTGCACAAGGTGACAGCTGCCTCATGGGTTCCAGGCAGGGGGGCAATACCCACTAGCTCCCACTGCCCCACGCTGCACAGGGGGGGCTCTTCCCCAGGCACCCAGAGGCCCCAATCACTGCTGCTGCAGCCATTGAGTGCAGGGCTTTTTTTTTTTTTTTTTTTTTTTTTTAAGTGCCAGGACTAGGCTGGGGTCAGGTGGGGGTTGCCCTGCCCATCCCCATCCATGGGGGCTTCTCCTGTAGCTTCCTCTGCCCAGGGAGAGGCAGGAACAGCCAGTGGAGCTGTGGGACAACCTGCAGCCACCCAGCTGTGCCTGCCTCTTCCTAGTCGATCCAAATTACCAAATCTCTCCAAAATCGGCACCGAATCTTCCAAAGCCAATTCAGCCAAATCAATTCAGGACAGTGATCCAAATCTCTGAATCTAATCATTGTCCTCTGAATTGGCCAAATCTTAATCAAAAGCTTCCCTATTTGCACAGGCCTAGTTTTAGCCATATTGGTCTACAGGCAAAAGGAATCAGAACTCTGGGTAGAGGTGATATCTTTTATTAAACCAACTAAATATTTGCAAAAAAGTCTTTATTTGCAATTTTTCAGGCATATTCACCCTTATTTAGGCATAGGAGAATGAAAATGTTATAACATTTCTCCTGAGTAGAAACGAAAATTCATTATTTCACAGGAGAGCTGAAGGTGCTGTATGATCTCCTGGTTGGAAAAGTTAATTTTGTGCAAATTAGGCTCAGATAAAAGTCAGGGCAGACTATTTACTTTGAAGTTGTGTGATGGTAAGCCGGATGTTGAATTATGTTTCCTTCTGGTTATGATGTTTCATATTTTGCAGGAGGATGGGTAGATGGAATATTCTCTTGGGCAAGGAATTTCTCTTGTGTTGAGGTAGCTCTGAGCTCTGCATACATGTAGATTTAGCTCAGAACAAAAGGCAAGGATGTCAGTTTTCTGGTTTTAAAGTGTTGAAATTTTGCTTCCTTCTTGTAAAATTGTGAATTTTTCATTTCAAAAACAGCTAAATTTGGTATTTTCCATGTTTCAGGGATACACAGTTTATAGCTGTATTGTTCTACAGGCAAAAGGAATCAGAACTCTGGGTAGAGGTAATCTCTTTTATGATATCACCTCTACCCAGAGTTCTGATTTTTAGGAAAACCAGGCACCTCATAAGTCAACATTCCTTAATGGATAAGGCTGTTTTGCAGCCCTGGAAAACTAAATTTTAATCCCAGTTATGGTCTTCTAGATCAGTGTTTCTCAACCCGTAGGTTGTCACCCAAAAGTGGGTCATAAGAATGTATGAAAGGGTCTCAGACAGACTTTAAAAATGGATCAAATTTCTTAAATGAATTTTTTAAATGAAAAATGTGGGAAACTGACATTTCCCTTGCAACCTGGAAGAGTTCCAACCTGCCCAAGGCTGCTTGCAGCCTCCATACCCCACACATACCCACCCCTTGCTCCACACATTTGGGGCTGGAACCTAGGGGCATGAGTGTGGGTCACTAAGTCAGGACTAGCCATGGATGTTTACAAATGGGTCCCGATACAAAAGAGGTTGAGAACCACTGTTCTAGATGAACCTGGCCAATTCACTGTACTACTTCTTTTCTCAGTGTTTCTCTTTGTCCCTCATCTCCCTTGGAGAAATTTTATAGATTAATTTTAGATGATGTTAAAGGCCATACACTGCAGCATGTGCAACAATCATAGTGCTAACAGCTAGCATCACCAAGTTGGTCTGACCCTTCACAGATCATGAAGTATTAAGCAGTTGTGAGGTGGCAGCTCTGCCACTAACCCTACAGCTGGTTGTCTTCACATATGTGGGCTACCCTAGTTATTGTCTGTGTAGTTATTTAGTAAATGAGGCTTAAAAACCCAACCTGAAGCAAACCTCCTAAACAACACCTGAAACCTATATAAGGAACTAGGGCTAAAATTCAGGCAACATGAAAATCCAAGTTAACTTTACAGTGAAAACATACCACCATGGTGTTTTTCACTCCTGTAGAATGCAATCAAACAGAGGAGGATCTTAAGTGACATACACAGCTTACCATGGATGGTTTATGCTCTACACAGCATGTTTAAGATGTTAAGGAAACAAAAATAAGGCCAGGATCATGTTTGTCATCACCCCCCACCCCCATACACACACCATTTGCCATGCTGATACCTTTAAACATGGTTCCTCCACTGTTTCTGTAATTTTTTTTTGGGGGGGGGGGGGGGGGCTTTTCCCTCT